TGTGGATTTCACAAGTTTCAAAATCTCCCCTCCCCCCACCGCATCCCAAAACCAGTCCAACTCGTCCCTGCCTCCCTAACCTGTTCTTCCTCCCACCTATCCCCTCCTCCCACCTCAAGCCGCACCTCCATCTCCTACCGACCAACCTCATCCCGCCCCCTTGACCTGTCCGTCCTCCCTGGACTGACCTATCCCCTTCCTAACTCCCTACCTACACTCACCTTTCCTGGCTCCATCCCCGCCTCTTCGACCTGTTTGTTTCCTCTCCACCTATCCTCTCCTCTATCCCTCTTCTATCCGCCTCCCACTCTCTCCCTATTTATTTCAAAACCCCCTTCCCCTCCCCCTTTTCTGATGAAGGGTCTAGGCCTGAAACGTCAGCCTCTCTGCTCCTATGATGCTGCTTGGCCTGCTGTGTTCATCCAGCCCTGCACCTTGTTGTCTCGGATTCTCCAGCATCTGCAGTTCCTACTATCTCTAAATCCAGGATAAGATTGATTACTACCTAACTGAGTGAAGGAGACCTTAAAGGCATTAACCTATGACCTAGAATGGGCACATTTGTGTCCCATAGTTATATGAATGAAGACTGGAATTTGGATAATGAGATGCTTATGGCATAAAGATACATGCTGTATGCTTGAGAGTTTCACTTTAGTTTAGCAGAGGTGAATTTCTCCCTGCATTGTTTGAATAAAACAATTGAAAAAATCTGTACTCAGTCTCCAACAAATGATTACTACAAGAGACTACACATTGTTTATAATTCCCATAAAACGTCTCATTTCACCGGCATTTTGTGGTTCACATGCCTCAGCTATTGCTTCATTGTTGTCTTTTGCTACATTGATTCTGAACTTTAGATCTGTCATGTCCAGCAAGCTCCTGTCTACATTTATTTTAAGCCCCTCTGATTGTAATCTAGCCAATACTCATCATAGCTTCTTGTCATGTTCTTCTCTATTGGCTCCATGAATACTTATGTCATCTGAGATATTGCCCGTTCCTGGAATGTCTCATATTACCTTATGGATTTTGTGTTAGTAAATCTCTGGTGCCACACTGATACCAAATAGCCAATTATTGTATCAGTAAAATCCAAGTGGGTATCCCCATTTTAAGTTGAATTTGGAAAATACCTTTCTTGTTCTACTAACGGTCAAATTACATAGTGGCGGTTGGTTAATTTGCACCTGAAAATGTCCAAATCATCTAAGAAAATTCAATCTCAGGGCTGACCAATCCTGGAAAAGTGACCTGTCAGTTGAATAGACAGAATCAGTGAAGAGTTCCTCTTCCAGGACTGGTTCTCTCTCATATTTGCTGCTGATAGGTTCATAGTGAACTGAAGTACTGCATCCAGTGCTGAACCAATGTCACTTACAAATTTAACATAACTTCCTTACTCCTCGTACTCTACATACCTACTCATAACGCCTCGGATGCTGTATGCTTTATAAACCCCTCCAGCAACCTGGTCCTGCCATCTTCAAATAGTTATGCAATACGTACCCAAGTCCCACTGCTCCAGAACATCCTTTAGAGTTGTATGTTTTATGCTGTATTATCTCCTCATGTTCTCCCTTCCAAAATGAATCACTTCACATTTCTCTACATTGAATTTCACCTCTTTAACCGTCTGCTCAATTCACGAACTTGCCTATGTCCTTTTGAAGTTCTTGGCTATCCTCCTCACATTTGTTCTCACACTTTGTTTTCTGTCACTAACCAACTTCAATTTTTGCTAATTTAATACCCACAATCACATGAGCCCTACTTTGTATAATAATCTATTCTGGTACCAAAACAACTTTAAAAAAACTTCACTTACCCACCTACTTGTTAACAACTGCACTAATTTCTCATCTCATCTGACATTAAAATAACATTTTTAATGCAGTAAAAGGTCCCAATGTGTCATGTCTTGGGTGAATACTGCACCCCTAACCAGAAATAGAAATTGATTGTTCAATTTAAACGGACTCCTTAATGGGTGGGTCACAATGACCAAACAGATAATGTGTCTCCTATTACTTGCATGGAGTTTCTGGCAAGAAAAAGGTTCAAATTTAGCTCAGCAAGTGTACATTTTTGTTTAAATTCTACATGAGTCTCTACCCACCATGTTTGATTTGACTCCATAGCAACATATCCTGTACCTTATCCAGTTTATCTAGCTTCCTTTCAAATGTACCTACACAATTCATTAATATTCTTTGCGATAGTGAATTTCACATTCTTACCAGCTTTTCTCCTGAATTCCCTATTGGATTTACTGGTCACTAACTTATATTTATGTGCCTAAGTCTTGGTCTCCTTACAGGTGGGATCATATGTTTTATTTCTAGTTTATCACACTCTTTCATAAAGATCTCTATTGGATTGATTGCTAATTTTCTCTTTTCTGGAGAAAAAAGTGCTAGCTTGTTCACCCTCCCCAATAAATATTTGCAGGTGTGGTCTATCAAAGGTTAACAGATCTTCCTTGATTATAAATTCTATTCCTGTAAAAATGAACTCATGTTTGGTTTGCTTCTCTTTTTACGGTCTCATAAATAAGGTTTTGGTTTTTATATGTACACACACCCTTTTGTACCCACACCCAAATGCTGGCAAATGGGACTAATGTATTTGGATATCTGGTTGGCATGGACGATTTGGACCGAAGGATCTGTTTCTGTGCTGTACACCTCTATGACTCTGAGTCATCAAAGAATCGAGTCTGATCTAAGGGAGGGGATATATTCTGCAACTGAACCTATACACTAATAAGAAAGCTGTACTTTCACTGAAGGGAGCTGTTTAAGTATGTCACCAAATCTTACCAGACTATAGTGCTGCTCTCTCATTAGAGAGATGACTGGTGGTGGTTCAATCTGAGGGTCATCACACCTCAGGCACAGGCAGAGGGTGAGCAGGAGAATCCTTCATGGTAACGTCAGTCAGTGCACAAATTGAACACATGCTGTTGGCCTCACTCTGCATTACAAACCAGCCATCCAGCCAACTGACTCACCAGCATGGCAGTACAGAACAACTTGTAGTCCCAAAGATCCACCATTCCCCAGAAACAGAAATTGATCAGCAACGACACTTATCAAAGCATCAGCACTCGCCATGTAAACAATCTCCACGGAGAATGAAGGTCACCCTTGAATTAGAATTAGGTTATACTGTCACATGTACCCAAGTACAGGGATACAAGAGTACTGCGAAAAATGTACAAAGTTGCCATTTCTGGCGCCAATTTAGGTAGAAAGGTGCCTAGGTATAAAATCTTAGGTACAAATTTGAAAAATAAAGGAATAAAGTTAAAAGTTCAGCTTTTTGTCCTTCTAAAGCACAGAAATAGAGAAAAAAAAAAGCAGACAGACAAGTCTGCGCTGGGCTTTAACTTGAGCTGGGAATCCGCGCTGGGCTTTACCTCGAGGCCAGGAGTCCACATTGGGAATCCCTCAAGTCCACACTGAACTTCACATCAAGCCCACGCTGGCTCAACTTGCCACCACCAATGCTGTCCACAGACAGGAGGTAAGTAGAAAGGAAAATAAAACATGAAAAGAGAACAAAAAGGATGGAGTGGAGCAGCTCCAGCTCAGGAGCCCTACTCTGATGCCATCTTGTAAGGAACAAGTGGAAACTACTCAACAGTCAATGTGTATCATTAGGAGACATGCATGACTTAAAGATTTATGCATGCATTGCATGTGCAGAGGCTGATGGAAATAAACTGACTGAAGTTAACGCTCAAGTCAGTTTTGCTAATGCATGATAATTTTCTTTCCGACAATGTCGAATTGGGTAACTTGGGTCAAGTGCGAGTGCATGCTTTTGTTTTGCTTTTATACAAAAAGAGATATGTTTGGAGAAAAAACAATTATAGTTATTTTAATCTGTAGAAATGCAAATATACCCAGCGCATACTGAGTGTCTTGCAGGAATAGTGTTGTTGCTACCTCTGCTGGCAGTGTCTTTGTGTGCTGTCAGTGGCAACCGTGAAACACACATCACTTGGAACAATAACTCACTTAGAGATAGTAAGAACTGCAGATGCTGGAGTCAGAGATAACACAAGAAGGGAAGAAGGATTCCGACCCGAAACGTCAACTTTCCTGCTCCTCTGATGCTACCTGGCCTGCTGTCTTCCTTCAGCTCCACACTGTGTTATCACTTAGTGCAATATTTGTTCCCATGCAACACCATGAATGTTATCGCTATTAACGCATTTGTGTACATCATTAGCTAACGCATTTCCGAATTATAACAGAGGCGGCGCTTCAAAAGTACCCAATTGGCTGTAAAACAGTGAGTGGCGGCTGGTGGTCGCGAAAGGTGTCATGTAAATGCGGTTTGGTCTTTTCCTCTTTCCTTCCTTCCTCCTCACGTCAGGCGCGGCGATCCTTTACCAAGATGGCGGCAGCGTCTCTATCATAAACAACGTCGACCCCAGAGCGGGAGTGTTTCCGGGTTGATTGTGGTGTCCCGGCTGAAGCGGTTGTCGCGGGTGCGGGGGAGAAGGAAGAGGCAGCTCAGAGTGAACTTGAACCTGGATCGGGGACGATGTGGGAGCAGCGGGATCGGTGAGAGCTCGTCCCGCTCTTCTGGTCAGGAGCGTTGCGGATCTGGGCGATGACGGTGCGAGGCCTCCCCGGCGTCCTGCTGCTGCTGGCGGCGGCTTTCTTGGGAGACGCGGTCGCCGGCCGCCATGATGATCGGTTCGGTAAGAGGACGGAGTCGCCCCTACGGAAACACTGATGTTGTGGTTTACTGCGGCTCTCCTTCGGTTCTGTTTGTCAACAGAAAGAAGAAGTTGTTACGGGTGGTGTGATCTCTTTTTCTTTCTTTAAATCTCGCGAAAGTGACAGCACTTTTAGTGCGCTACACTCGGGCAACTTCTGATTTGAACTAATATTATTATTGGAGGGCAAAGAGTTAACAGCGTTATCCTGTGGTTTGTGTTAAATGTTCTGGTTCAAATCGGTCCATCGACAAATAACTTTCGCATTTCTCCTGAATAGCTTCACCACTTCCCGTTAACTGATGGCCAAAGTTGTAGTTTTTCTAAAGTCCGTTTACTTCAAGATTAGGGCCCCCATAAATTTGGGATTTAGAATGTTACAGCTTTTTTTGGGCCAGTGTGTCTGCGCCGGCTCTCTGAAGAGCTACTCCCTTAATCTCATTCCCCGCCTTTAGCCTCGCATTATTTTCGCTTAAAAAAAATAGCTATCTTGATCTCCACTGAACCTGCCTCCTCCACACCCTGCAGTACATTCAAGATCCTAATCCCTAGCTATGCATAAAATATTTCTTCCTATGACCGTTGCTTTCAGAATCATACAGCACTTAAACAGACCCTTTGGTCCAACCAGTCCATGCCGACCATAATCCCAAACTAAACTAGTCCTACCTGCCTGCGCTTGGCCCATATCCCTCCAAACATTTCTTCTTCATTAACTTATCCAAATGTTTTTAAAAATATTGTAACTGTTACCTGTATCCACCACTTCCTCTGGAAGTTCATTTCACACACGAAACACTCTGTTTAAAAAAAAAAGTCCCTCATGTCTTTTTAAAATCTTTCTCCCCTCACCTTGAAAATATGCCTCGTAGTCTTAAAATCCCTCACCCTAGGGAAAAAAAATCTGCCATTCATCTTATCTGCACCCCTCATGATTTTATAAACCCCTATAAGGCCACCTCTCAACCTTCTCCGTTCTAGTGGAAAAAGTCCCAGCCTGTCCAGCCTCTCCTTATAACTCAAGCCTTCCATTCCTGGCAATACCTGGGTAAATATCTTATGAACCCTCTCTAGCTCAATGATATCCTCCCTCTAACAGCGCGACCAGAACTGTACACAGTATTCCAGAAGAGGCCTCACCACTGTCCTGTACAACTTCAACATGTAGTCCCAACTCCTATACTCAAAGGTCTGAGCAATGAAGGCAAGCTTGCCAACCATGTTCTTAACCAACCTGTCTACACGTGATGCAAACTTCAATGAATTATGTACCTGAACCCCTAGGTCTCTGTTCCACAACTCCACCCAAGGCCCTACTTTTAATTGTATACATCCTGCCCTTGTTTGTTTTACCAAATTTGTCGAAATTAAACTTCATCTGTCACTCCTCAGCCCGTTGATATAATTGACCATGATCGCTTTGTAATCTTAGATAACATTCTCTGTCCCCTTTGCCACCAGTTTTGATGTCATCTGCAAAATTGTTAACCATGCCTTCTATACTGTCATCTAAATCATTTATATAAATGACAAACCAAAGTGGATCCAGCATTGATCCCTGTGGAACACTGCTGGTAACAGGCTTCCAATCTGAAAAACAATCTTCCACCACTGACTCCTGCTGTTAAGCCAATTTTATATACAGTTGGCAAGCTCACCCGGAATCCCATGCGATCTAACTTTACTAATTAATCTATCATGTGGAACCTTGTCATAGGCTTTAGTAAAGTCCACGTAAACAACATCTACCACTCTGCCTTCATCAGTCTTCTTGGTTACTTCCTCAAAAACTCAATCAAGCTTGTGAGACATGTTTTTCTTTGCGCAAAACCATGCTGACTATCCTTGATCATTCCTTACCTCTCCAAATGCATATAAATCCTATCTTTCAGAATCACCTTCAACAACTGCCCCATCACCAAAGTCAGACTCAAATCTATAGTTTCCAGGCTTCTCCTTGTATCCTCCCCCTTAAACAAAGGCACAAAATTAGTTGCTGCCCAGTCATCTGGCGCCTCACCCATAGTTATAGATGATACAAATATTTCTGCAAGGGGCTCTGCAATTTTCTCCCTAAATTCCCACAACATCCTGGGATACACTAGTTCAGGTCTGTGATTTATCTACCTTTACATTTTCTAAGACATCCAGCACTTCCTCTTCTGTGAACTGTTTTCAGAACATCAATATTTCTTTCCCTGAGTTCTTTAGCCTCCACTTCTTTCTCAACGGTAAAAACTGATGCGAAATATTCATTTAATATCTCTCCCATTTCCTGAGGTTCAACAGAAAGATGACCTTTTTGATCTTTAAGGGACCCCACTGTCTCTCTCTAGTTGCTGTCTTGCTCGTAATATACTTGAATATCTCTTTCGATTATCCTTAGCCTTAGCAGATCAGGTTATCTCATTTCCCCTCTTTGCCCTCCTGCTCTCCATCTTAGGAAAGCCCTTACAGTCTTTACACAGTTCGGAAGATTCATTTCAACCCAGTTGTCTGTATCTAATATATGATTTGTTTTTATTCTTGACTAGAGCCTCAATATCTTTATTCATCCATTGTTCTCTAATACTACCAGCTTACCTTTCACTCTAACAGGAACGTAATAACATAGAGACATACAGCACAGAAACAGACCATTCAGTCCCACTCGTCCATGCCCACCATATATGTTAAATTAATTGAGTCCCATTTGCTAGCATTTCGTCCATACCCCTCTAAACCCTTCCTATTCATATACCCAATCCAGATGCCTTTTAAATGTTGTAATTGTACCTGCCTGCACACTTCATTTGGCAGCTCATTCCATATGTGCACCACCCTCCAAGTGAAAAAGTTACCTCTCCGGTCCTTTTTAAATCTTGCCCCTATGAATGCCCTGTAGTTTTGGACACTCCTCCCCCCTCCAACCCGCTAAGAAAAAGACCATGTCAATTCACCTTACCCATGGCCCTCATGATTTTATAAACTTCAGTAAGGTCACCCCTCAGCCTCTGATGCTCCAGGGAAAAAAGTCGTCTTCTTATAGCTCCCTATAACTTTGAGCAACCCTAATGCAGCAAGTACAACTGGATACATTTCACATCCAGGGAGCTAACACAAACATAAGGACATTATGCCCAGGTCAAGAAAGAGTGCCCAGCCATCGGCTTTGCTTGTGAACGTTTTCATCGATACATACTTGGAAGAGACAAAGTGCCAGTCGAAACAGACCACAAGCCACTTCAAAGCATTTTTCCTTCAAGCTGCTACTATCTGTTCCAAAGCAACTGCAAAGAATGTTACTTCAGTTACAAGATCATAGAATCTCTACAATGTAGAAGCAGGCCATTTGGCTCATTGAGTCCATGTTGACCCTCCGAAGAGCATGCCACCCAGATCCACCCTCCTACCCTATCCCTGTAACCCTGCATACCCCAAGGCTAATCCACCCAGCCTACACATCCCTGGATCCTCTGGGCAATTTAGCATTCTTTGTCATTGATCTTAAATTGTTCTGTTTCTAGATTGTTCTGGCAATGGATACAGTTTCATCCTATCTAAGACTCTTATGATTTTTGAACAACTCTTTTAAATCTCCACTTTCAGCCCCAAGTCCTCGAAACTATCTGTATACTTGACCCTTGGAACCATTCTCCTAGACTTTTTGTTTTGATCTTCTCTAATGCCTTCGCAACTTTCTGTAATGTGCTGCCCCAGAACTGTGTACATTATTTCAGTTGAGGCTGCACCAATGTCATTGTCTTCTAATATCTTTGGACCCTTAACCTCTCTTTATAAAGCTGAGAATACTGTGTGTGTTATTAATCACTTTGTCAACCTCTCCTGCCACTTTTGATGTTTTGTGTATGTGTACTGTTGGCTGTTCCTACTACTGCTCCTTGTTGTAGTATATGTTTAATTTCTGCTGCATCTCATTTTAACTAAACCGAATCACTTCACACTTTACCTTTGAATTTCATCTGCCACGTGTTCATGCATACCAGTAGACTATGTCTTCTCAAAGTTCATCACTATCCTCTTCACAGTTCACATTTTGCCACCTGCAAATTTTCAAATTATTTTGTATATCCAAGTCTATATTTATTAATACATCAAGAAAAAAGGGGCTCTAGCTTCAGCTCCTGAGGGCATTGCTCTATTTTACTTCTGCTAGTCTGTAAAGCAACTGTTTCTGTCACTCAGTTAATTTCATATCCATGCTGCTACTGATGCTTTGATTCAGTGTGCTCTAAATTTGCTGATAAACTTGTTTCAAAAGGCATTTAGTAAGTTGCCATGAAGTCCGTGTTCACCACATCAACCATATTATCCTCCTCAGAAACCTCAAGCAAGTTTTCGAGCTTGCCAAATCTATGCTGCCTTCAATGAATTTATCTAAGGAAAAGTGACTGACTGTTAATTTTATCATGAGTTATCACTTTTAAGAGCCCTTCCACCACTGAGGTTAAGCATTTTTTAACAAATGTGTAACAATTGCAATTTTTCAGTCATCTGGTACCACCCTGTATCTAAAGATTAGAAGTTATAGCCAGGGTCTCTGCATTTTCCACGTTTACCTCCCTTCGTATCATCAGTTGCAAGGTGAGAGTGATTGGCCTTGAAATTAAGGTAGCCTTTAACAGTCTGGTGACAAAGAGTCCTAACAAAATTGTAGTAGTAATTGAGGAAAACGTTTGACTGATTGTAGTCATTCCCAGCATAAAGGAAGAAAGCTATATTTGGGGGACAATCATATCAACCTCAGACATTAGCGCAGGATTTCTTTAGTGTAGTGTTCGAGGCCAAATCATCTTCAACTACTTCGTCAGTGACCATTTGCCCATAGTAAGATCAAAATTGGGGGTGTTCAACATGCAGTGCTGAGTACCATTTTTGACAATGCTTACATTGAAATAGGCCATGTAAGCAGAACCTGGACTATATTCAGGCTTGAGCTGATAAATGGCAAATAACATTTATGTCATACTAATTAGTACACGATCTTGTCTATAATCTTTGTTAATTTTTAGCATAATCATTGTCTCCACTGCTTCCTGCTTCACTGGGTAGCGTCTTCTTTGTGAAGACAAATGGAATGTTTTCATTAGGGACCTCAACCATACCTCTTCCCTTTGTACATAAATCTCCTTTTATATCCCTAATTGGGATACAATTGCCACCCTTTCTTTCACATTCCAGCAAGGTCGTGAGTTTTTTTTATATGTGTGCAATGGACTTGGTCTTGTGTTTGTGAACTCCTTCGTAACCACAAATGAATTTTATAAAAAGTGATAATATGATAAATTACCCTGAGCATTTTGGTTTCTCACAATGGTTGCATGAATACGTTGAAGTACGCCCACCCTTGAAATTAATGGCTAACAATGTAAGAGTAAGTGTTATTGCTTGTGTCATAAGTGGTTTGTAACCTCTCTTTGCTTGTTGTAATAAACTGCTGAAGGCTATGCCATTTCTCTTCCTAACTCAAGAAAGTCATATGAGGTTAATTAGCTTTATTAAGTTGAATGATAGAATGAATTGTGATAAGGCATAGTTTTTTAAGCTGTCAAAAATTCACTTAGTCTTCGTGCCATCTGTGCTTTGAGTTGTAACTCTGAATTAAATTGTCAAGTATGTTGTATAAAGTGTTGGAAATTAGCCAGTATTTAGTCTACGTCTACAGCCTCATTATTGAGCTTGTCAACTAGGTGTAGGTTTAGAGGTTTTCAGTGTCTGATGCATTTCTTGTTAGTCACCTCTGGAAGAAGTAAAATACTTTGTGCAATGTTCTTAGTAGTAAACCAGTCTGTTCTAATGATTAATTTGCAGTTAATATTTGCATCCTGTCTATATTAGAATTATTTCTCTAATAAAAGGTTTGAATTAGAAATGTTTGGGTTGGTACTAAGGCCACAAATACATTGCAGCTTGTAGGTTTTGGTTTTTGAGTGTCTTGGTTTAAGAGTCTTCTCTGTTGAGATTGAGGAATATGAACAGCAATTCAAACAAGGAGCAGGAGAAAGATATTTGGTCCTTCGAGCTGCTCTGCATTACATAAAATTAGGGCTGATCTGATTGTAACCTCATACCTGCCTACCCCTGGTTACCTTTCATTCCCTTGCTTAGCTAGAATCTAACCTTTGTCTTAAAAATATTCAAAGGCTCTGCTTCCATCACCTTTTCAGGAAGAGCGTTCCAAACACTTATGATGTTCAGAGAAAGAAAAATTGCTTTATCCCTTTTAAAAATAAGGGGCCACCCATTTAGACAGTGATCCCGAGTTCTTGATTCTCACTTTAGAGGAATCGTCCCCTCCACATCCAATCTGTCAAAACTGGCCAGGATTTTGCATGTTTCAATCAAGTCATTTCTACTCTTTTAAATTCCAGAAAATACAAGCCTAGTCTGTTCAATGTTTTCTCAAGTCAATTCCCCCTTCCAGGTATTAGTCTGTGAGCATTTTCTGAACTGCTTCTGAGTATTTACATCTTTCTGTAATAAGTACACACCACTTGAGTTGTGGTCTCGCTACTGCCTTGTACAATTGAAGCATATCTTCCCACTTCTGTGTTCAGTTACCCTTATAACATGCTGTTAGGTTTTGTAATTACTTGCTGTTCTTGCATACTAATCTCTTGTGATTCATGCACAGGGACATCCAGATCCCCCTGCGCCTCGGAGCTCTGCAATTGCTTTCCATTTTGATAGTGTGCTTTTTTTTATTCTTCTTAGCAAAATGGGCAAGACCATGTTACTGCAGACCTTTGCTCACCCATTTAACCTCTATATATCTTTTGGTAGCCTCTTTGTGTCATCAACAAACTGGGCAACCATACTTTTTGTCCCTTGATCCACAACATTTATGTAAATTACAACCAGTTAAGATCCCACCATGTCTCCTTTAGTTTCAAATTGGCACTCGACCTTTACTCTTTGTCTTGTTGAATTTAGTAATTTGGTAGGCCCAGAAATCTCTCAATCCCTGTTTTCTGCTCTGTTGAACAGACGTGTTGGGATAATTTTTATACTGACTTAATGGAGGAACAAAATTGTTGTTCTTGAATCTAGATAGGCAAACTATATGGTACTTGCATTTTATAAAAAAACTCTATACCATTTCCTTTTTATTTGTATGTTGTCAGACAGGAGACACTTATTTACTTAAATGGTCTCCAATAAAATTGTGGCAGACAAAACAGTGTTTATTTGGCTGATTGAAGTGCTGTCAACTCTTTTTTTTTTTATAACTTGTCATAGAGTCATACAGTGCAGAAACAGACCCTTCAGTCCAACCAGTCCATGCTGAACATAATCCCAAGATAAACTAGTCCCACCTGCCTGCTCCTGGCCCCTATCCTTCCAAATCTTTCCTATTCATGTACTTATCCAGTCTCTTTTAAACGTTGTCAATGTACCCACATCCACAACTTCCTTGGGAAGTTCAGTCCACGTGCAAACCACACTGTGTAAAAAAATTTGCCCTTCATGTCTTTTTTAAAATCTCTCTCCTGTCACCTTAAAAACGTGACCCCTAGTCTTAAAATTCCCCATCCTCGGTGAAAGACACTATTAACCCTATTTATATCCCTCATTATTTTATAAACCTCTATAAGGTCACCTCAGCCTCCTATGCTCCAGTGGAAAAACTGCCAGCCTTTCTTTGTAAACTCACACCTTCCATATCAGGCAACATCCTGGTAAATCTCTTCTGAACCCTCTCCAGCTTGATGGTATCCTTCCTATAACCGGGTGACACTTTTCCAGAAGAGGCCTCACCAATGTCCTGTACAACCTCAGCATGACTTCCAAACTTCTATAGTCAATGGGCTGAGCAATGAAGGCAAAAGTGCCAAACGCCTTTTTAACTATGATAACAAGGTGTAGAGCTGGATGAACACAGCAGGCCGAGCAGGAAAGCTGATGTTTTGGGTCTGGACCCGTCTTCAGAAAACTGTGTGACGGAAACTTCAAAGAATTACGTACCTGAACCCCTCTGTCTCTATATTCTACAACACTACCCAAAGCCCTACCATTTATTGTATAAGTCATACCCTTGTTTGTTGTACCGAAATGCAGTACCTCGCATTTATCCGGATCAAACGCCATCTGCCGTTTTTCAGTTCATTGACCCATTTGGTCGAGGTCCCTTTGTAATATTAGAAAACCTTCTACCATGCCACCAATTTTGATGTTGACCGCAAACTTCTTGAGCAGTACAGGAGTCTGACACAGGACTGTATGCTGAACAGACAGTTTCCAGGGACAGAAAAATAGATATCAGCTGCTGCTGGAAGGCCACTAACTTGGTGAAGGATGCTTTGACCAAAGCTTGCTGGTCTTCCAGTGCAAAACGTTGTTGATGAAAGAAGGTTGCGAACTGGCATATTCCAAGATCCAGGATTATGTGCTAAGGCTCACTCTAAGGTCTGGGGTGGCCGTTACAGAGACATTATGGGGAAGGGTTACCTTCTCAGGCCTTTGAGTTGTTGTACACCAAAGTACTGGAAAATGTAAACCCCCTCGGGCTGTATCCTGACATTGACTGTGCATTGTGAATGTCACGAATGTTAAAAATGTATTGTAGTACCAAACAGTGGACATTCCTTCCCGGATCAGTTTGCAAATAAAATTTATTTCTTTCACTGCAGAGGTTAAACTTCAGTGTTTTCCATTTGTCACGTCCTTCAACTAAGTGATATTCATTAGTGAAAGATTACATTGGTAATTGCAGGATTCAAGATTTACCCTAGAAACTTGACTGCAAATAACTCTTACCATAGTGATGAATATTTTATCTCTACCTTTTATTGGTTTTGTTTTGCTCCCTGCCTTGATACAAATTGTTTTCATAATTTCTTTCTTGTATTCCAGTTAAGTTACTGTTCAGCTAAGATCTTGGCATCCTGCTTTATGTGTAGTTTAATGAAATGGTACAATCAGAACCAGAGAGAGAGGGAGAAATGTGATAGTGGCTCTGCAGAGGGTGATAAAACAATTTAAAAATATGCAACCTTGTGTTTTGAGTGGTTAAGAATTGTTTTAAATGTTACACATTTGAATTAACAGGTGTACTGTTGAAATAACCATAATGTTAGTATATTGACAAACTTGCAGTGGTGCAGTGGCAGCAGGAGGTGAATCATTTGTCATTGAGTTCTCTGCCTCCATTATTCTCTTATAGTCATTTCTTATAGGTAATCCAGTTTGGTTTCTGATCAGCACTGACTCCTCATGATTTGGGTGCTAGAATATGTGACAGCACTGTTGTCGTTGAAGTTCACTAGGATGTGGTTTGGGATTTTTCTTCGTGTTCAGTGTAACTGAAACCTAAAGTAACATTCATGCCATATGTCAGCCCAATCCTTTTTTGGAGATGAGATTCTGCTGACTCTGCTGTACATTTATTCTACTAGCATGCAGTATTTTACACCTGTCTTTATTAAATTTCATTGCATTATTCTGTCTACTCATTTCATTCCAGTTGAATCTGTAATTTGAGTTGTTCCTCTGCTTTAATTTTGCATGAGCTGAAATCTTGACCAATCTGTATTAAGCCCAAGCCAAATATTGGAAAGATCGACATTTAGTGCCATTGTGTAAATGAATAATATGGTAACAGACAAAATCTGGTAACCCACTTCTTTGTTCACAGATGTCTTGAATGAATGGTTAACTGATTATGACATCCTGTCTTTATCGGATATCCATCAGCACTCTGTGAGAAAGCGTGATGCAGGACCACAGTCCCATGTAGAACAATCAGTCCAATTTTCAGCCCTCAACAGGTATGCACAGAAACATTATTTAACATAGTTCTCATTTTGGTAATAAAAATAACTATGAGGAAGTCTTTGTTAATGGGCATTTACAGGAATGATTATACAATTTATATTAGATAGAGTAGGTTTTGTTTGTGGAAGTAAACTATTCCATTCAAAACCATGCTCATGATTTAAAAAAAATACAAAATATTAAAATAGTTGCCCACCTCAGTTGGAGATAGCAAGAACTGCAGATGCTGGAGCCAGAGTCAATACAGTGTGGAGCTGGAGGAACACAGCAGGCCAGGCAGCATCAGAGGAGCAAGAAAGTTGATGTTTTGGGTCACCCTTCTTCAGAAATGGGAAGGGGGAAGGGAGCTGGGAAATAAGTAGAGAGAGTGGGGGGGGTAGCTGAGGAAAGGTAGGTGGGATGGTGATAGGTGAATGCAGGTAGGGAGTGGTGGGGATTGGTCAGTGGGGTGGATAGGTGGGAAAGAAGATGGACAAGTTGTGTCGGGTCAAGGAGGTGGGAGGGAGGATGGGTCGGGCTTGGGAAAGGTAGTTGGGGTGGTGATAGGTTGGATGCAGGTAGGGGATAGTGGGGATTGGTCGGCGGGACGGGTAGGGGCGGACAGGTGGGAGAGAAGATGGACAGCTTGTGTAAGGTCAAGGAGGCAGGAGTGAGAGGGATATTTGGATGTAGGATGGGGCGGGGGTGTGGAGATTTTAAAACTGGTGAATTCTATATTAAGGCCATCCGGCTATAGGCTCCCGAGAAGGAATAGGAGGTGTTACTCCTCCAGTTTGCGTGTGGTGTCATTGTGGCACTGGAGACATGGCCATCCTGGGCCGCCTCCACTGCCACAGTGACATCACACATAAACTGGAAGAGCAACACCTCCTATTCTACCTTGGGAACCTGCAGCCCAATGGCCCTAACATGGAATTTACCAGTTTTAAAATCTCCCCACCCCTGGCCTCATCCTAAATCCAAAAGTCCCTCTCATTCCCGCCTCCTTGACCTGACACAACCTGTCCATCTTCTCTCCCACCTATCCGTCCCACCCATCCCACTGACCGATCCCCATTCACCTATCACCATCCCACCTACCTTTCCCCAGCCCCACCCCTCCCCTCTCTCCACTTATTTCCCAGGTCCCTTCCCCCTCCCCATTTCTGAAAAAGGGTCCCAACCCAAAACTTTCCTGCTCCTGTGATTGCCTGGCCTGCTGTGTTCTTCCAACTCCACACTGTATTGACTGCCCACCTTAGTTGTTCTTGTAAGACCAGAAGCACTGAGATTGGCAATGTGTGCAGTATTCCAGAATATTCTCTTACTTTATTTATTTTGTCATAATATCTCATCCCGTGTAAGGGACCATAAACATTGTGTAGATGGTAGTCTTACCTCCCACCGGAGCAGGGATACTGGGTGTATAGAATCCAGTAACTTAGGCTGGGGCTCTAGGGGGTCCCACTGTACTTAGTCTGTGAAGCATGGCCGGGGGCCTTGGCCAGGGGCAGCACCTGAGTTCTTGATTTTTGTCCCCGTCTGTGTCTCTCACCCTTTGAGATTTAACATGCTACCTATCAAGCTGTTTTGCCAGTCATCATTTGTTAGTACAGAACTTGAGTATTACTGAAAACATACAATTTGTTAAAGCTTTTCGTCTTACACTCACTAATCAGAGCAATGCCTGTGATTCACAATGAAGCAATCAGAGTCAACTTGCCTGGTTTAAAATGTTAACTGGTATTCACCATTTAACTGGTGCATTCTCCATGTCAATGCCTCCACAATCAAAGTCCACTTGCCAACCAATCAGCACTGTCTACTCAATGTTAATGTTGGTTTGCCCTTTAAATTGGTATTCTTGTGAATTGTCCTGATGAGTACAGAAGAAAGAGCTTTGACACTGTAATTTTTTTTTGTTAGCAATACCAAGTTTATCCTGAACTAAATTTAATCTTCTACACTAATGTAGGTGTTTCAACAATCCTGATTCTATTGTAATATATTGAAAAATGTGACTACTTTATGTAGAGAGTATTAGAACCAATTCATTTTGGCTTATTTATTAGTAAAAATGACCAAAAAAAGGGAGAAAATAAGCCTCTAGAGCCAACTAGTAAGTAACATAAAACAGACAGTGAGAGCTTCATAAACATAGGCAAGTGGTGAAGATGATACAAGGAATCTACAGAGGGGTTTAGACAGGTTAAATGAGTGGGGAAAAAAATTTGGTACGTAGAATGTAATATACCCTTCGGCCAGAAGACTAGAAGGTCTGGGTTATTTATATTGGGAAAGACTGCAGAAAGCTGCTTCACAGAGATTTTGGGGTCCTTATGCTTGATTGACAAAAAATTAGCATCTAAATTCTGTGATAATAGAGAAGGTAAATGGTATGTTGGCCTTTATTTCAAAGGGAATGAAGTGTAAAAGTTGGGATGCTAAGCTAATAAAGGGCACAAGTCAGACCGTGGCTTGAATACAGTGAGAAGTTTGGGTCCTGTTATCTAAGTAAAGTTCTGCTGGCATTAAAGGCAGTCCAGAGAAGGTTCACCTAGGTTGCTTCTGGGTATGGATGGATTTTCTGTTGAGAAGATGTTGGATAGGTTGGGCTTGTACTCAATGGAGTTCACAAGAATAAGAGGAGACTTTTTTTTTTAAAACATGTATGATTTTTGGGGTTGCTGAAAGGGTGGATGCAGAGAGGCTGTTTCCACTTATAGGAGAGTCTAGGAGCACAGGGCAATGCCTCAGAATAAAGGCTCTCAAAGTTAAGCCAGATGAGTAGGAATTTCTTTTGAGCATAGGGAATATGTGGAATTCTTTACTGCAGAGGTTTGGAGACTGATATATTCAAAGTTGAGGTGAATAGTTAATCCTTAATGGAATCAATTGCTATAGGGATAAGACAGGAAAGTGGAGTTTAGGATTATCAGAGCATCCATGATCTCGTTGAATATGGAATGAACTTTGGGCTGAATGGCTTACTTCTACTCTTGCATCTTGTGGTCTTATTTGAACTATAAGACTAAAGAAATTATTAAAATGAAATAAAAGCTGTCCATCAAGCTGATAAAACCTGAAACTTTGCTGCCAAAAAGCAAAAATAAATTCCAGATTAAGTCTTATTCCCCAGATAATTTGCGTTGAGCAGGAAAGGTGCTCTGTGGAGATTGTTGTCTCAAGAAAGTTCCAAAGAATACTGAGGCATGTATAATCTATCGCATTTAGGCAGCGTTTTGTCTCTTCCCAGTGAAACAGAACAAGAAAGTTGAAGATTTACCAAGAGCAAGTTTGACCTGTGGACAGTTAAGTGAACTTAAAAATCTTAAAAATTGGAAGTTAATAAAGATAGCAGTCTTATAATTAATAAAATAATGCAGTATCTGCACGATGAAGAGGATATTTTCTTACGAAACAGAGTAGAGTACATTTTACCTAGTTCTTGGGTTTGGTACCTGATCTGCTATGAGATTAGAAAGTCACATACATTAACAATTTTCTCATTCCTGGGTCAAGACTCTGTATCCTATGAGAGGAATGAAATATAACTTTCTTTAACACAGAATATAATCGTTATGCTTGCAACAGTATTTTCTTCACATTTTTTGATTGCAGTTCTGTTTAAATATCTGAACAGGTAGCCATATTGAGAAACATTTTGATGGGGTGATCTGACCTGATTAGCATTTCAGTTGTGATAATCATTGTTTTTGTTCACATAGATTGTGCACTTTCAAGGGCATTTTAGAATGCATGCGGACATAAAGACTTGGCTGGCATGTTTCTATGAAATGATGTAATTTGGTATGAAGTGTATAGCTATGTTAACTATAGTTGATTTAAAACAAGCTGCTACTATTAATGGAAAGAAAACTATGTTACAGTTGTACATTTTAGTCTGAATGGCTTTTGAAGCATAAGACATGATTGTAGTGTATAGTGGAGCAGGCTAGATTAGTTAGGTGATCAACCTCTGTTTCTGTGACATAATAGGAGCAGAAGTTGTGTTTTATTCCTCATGTAAGGAATGTATTGTATACATGTATTCCTCATTCCTTATCTGCAGTTGTAGCTGGCATCCATGCTGTCACAAGATGTTGGTTCGCTTTCAGTGGATGGTCAGCTGGAACTGCTGCAGTTTCCTGATTAAAAGGAACCAGCTGGTTTATAGCACTGGTCCAACAAGCTGCAATCCAGAACCTCTTTCTATTACAATGGACTTTTTCACCACAGAACTGTAGGTGTAGAGCCAGCCAGCAGCTGATGGGAAGAGAGTGGTGATCATCCTCAAAGTGTGCAGGTCAAAGCAAGCCAACAACATCTTAAAAAATCACCATCAACAAGATTGGCTGCACTACCCTAAACAATTTGCGACACATCATTTACAAGAACAAGTGCCAAAAGGACCTTCTCGTGGCTGCACTTTGACATGCCAGTGCTATTCTGAAGAGCCAGGGGCCAGTTATGGTCAAGAAAAAGTGCACTTGGGCTACAAAGAGTTTTTAAACTTGCAAAGGATGGGTGTGGCTTATGATTAAACTAAAGGAAGGTTTTGAGTTCTAAAATAAATCTTGAAATGATATGACATTATATGACAATATAATTACTTACTTGTTTGCAGACTGAGAATTTGATTAGACTTCTAGTTCCTAAGCATCTATTTCAAAGCTGATGTTGAGTTGAATCTTGAACAGACCTCTTGTTTCATTTGAACTTTTGTTATTTTTCTATCAACAAAATTCTGGAACATTTTGTTTGCTTAATGATGTCACAAAGTAACGTACTTCTCAATATTTGCTGAAACTTTGCAATCTTGCCTGAATCCCATCATGCAAGAGTATACATTTTCAAGTATATTGAAATATAACATAACATGCGTAACTTGAGAAAAGAGGTTGTGTTTCCAGCATTCTGGTTCTATCCAAACTCTCCAATAAACAGTGATTTGATTGTGGAAAATGTAAAGATTGAAGAGTCAACATTTCCACATTAATTGTGACAAATTTAAGTGGAAGGATACCCCACAGTTTATGTCACTGTCTCCTTCCTGTCATTGAGAATTTGCAAATGAGAAAGGATACAATACCATTTTTACTCATTTACAAGGACTGATAATCCAGAAACTTGGGCTAATGATTTGAAGACATACATGTTCAAATACAACCGTGGCAGCAGGGGCATTTTAGCTCAGTTGCTTAAATCTGGAATGATGAGGGAATATCAGTATTGATGATTATCAGTCTACCGAATTGTAATTGAAAATCCATCTGGTTCACTAATATCCATTAGCAAACAAAATCTGTCATCCTTACCCCTTCTGGCCTACATGTGATTTCAGACCTGTGGAAACATGATCATCTCTTAACAGGCTTTTAAAATGCCTTCGCAAGTTGATCAAGTAGTCAAGAAGCTGACTCTCTGCCACCTGCTCAAATTAATTAGGGAAGGTCGACAGTTGCCTAACAATGTCCCTATTCCATAATTGAATCAAAAAAGCTGTGTAAGACAGATGATGAAAACTTGATCTTGTCTATCTTTTAAAGCTTTAGGAATTGAGATTTTTAGAACAATAATTCCACAACTTTACGTGAAAATTTTTTAATGGGGTAAAGAATGTATCATAGATTCATTTAAATGGCTTTGCACTGTGAATTGCTTTAAAATTCCTGCCTGTATATAATTTTGTGGAAGAGTGCAGAGCAAATCTGTATGTTTCTAACAAGTGATTGACATAAGAACAGTGTTACAACAAGATTCTTCATCTTACTTTGACTTTTCTTTTACAGAAATTTTAGATTGTATTTAACTTCAAGCGTGGAACAATTTTCTGACACTTTCAGAGTGGTTGTAGTGGACAGATATGGAAATGAAGAAGAATATCCTGTGCAGTGGAAAAACTTCTTTACTGGTCATGTGATTGGTTAGTGTTAAATGTTCATTGTATGCTGTACAGTACTTGTGTTGTCGGCTCTAGTACTGCTGCATTGAAAGTAAAAACTTAGGCAAAATTCAAGTTCAGTAATATAAAAGGTATTTTGTAGAAAGGGAAGTTCATTTATTCAAAATACTATATATTAATTCACCTTTTGTCATTGAAGCAGAGTGAAATTATTTAATCAGAAACTTTGAAACTCGTGCTTTAAATGGGAATCTGGTGATTCAGTTCAATTACCATAGTTACCAAGCTGCTGTACTTGCGTGATATTTTTATATCTAAAAATCATGTATTTCCTGAATTCCAAATCCTTGTAAACTGCAGACAGCCAAGTCAATATCATTCTCTGAAATTAATAGGCCATGCACAAGAAAATGAAAAGGACATTGTCTGAACTTGCTGGTGATCTGATTTGATATACTTACAATGTAAATGCTAATGTGGAATTTCAGAAGACAAAGCAAAAGATGAAAGGGAACTACTGAGAGGACTAATAATCTGTCCTTGTAGCCAAACATAGAGATATTTATTGATTTGTTTTAAGAAGTTAATAACATGTTTTTCAAAACAAAGCTGTGATAAGTTATACTCTGACCCCATGGACTCTTTGTGACAAAGATGTCTGCTTTGGCAACATTACTTACCTCTGCTAAAAACAAAGTAAATTTTCTAAAAGGAAGAAAATTACATGTGTTATAGCTAGATTGAATTCCATGTGACTAAATGTGAAGCCTTCCATGTTGGGCCTAAGCAAGATAGATCAGAGTAGTTTCCAAATGCTAATGGAAGAAGAGTGAGATTTGGGGATCCAAGCTTAGAAATTACTTCAAACTAGTGAACAGAGTCAATTCTTTTTAGAAAATGAATGGCCTTTATCTCAGGAGTGCAGTAGTGTATGTTGATGGAAATTATAGTAGTTCAAAATTCTGATTAGACCCAATTTGGAGTACACTAGTCTATTCTAGACAACATACCTCGGGAAGGAGGGTTGCATCATAATTATAAAAGAACATGACAGTTAAGTTATCAGGGTTGGTTGTGTTGGCTAGACTTGTGTTCCCTTTGATATCATCATTTGAGGGATGACCTATTTTGAGGTTTTCAATAGGATCCAAAGGGTGACGGTGAGCAGTTATTTCATTTGCAGAAATCTAGAACTAAATAGCATACAAGCATATGAATTGGAATTAGGAACTGGATTAGACTATTTAGCCCTTTTGAAACTGCTGCCATTTTAACATGATCTGAATGTGGCCTCATATAAAAGTTTGAATACGCATACCAACGGATTCAAGAACCGCTTCTTCCCTGCTGTTATCAGACTTTTGAATGAACCTCTCAAATCTTAATACTGATCTTTCTCTTTGTACCTTCTCTGTGGCTGTAACACTATATTCTGCACTCTGTTCTGCTACCTGACACACACTGTATGGTACGATCTGCCTGAAACTTATGAGATTTTCTCCTCAACTCCTGTCTTAAGTGCAGGTCTTTAATCCTAGTCTTCCCCAGAAAAGGAGACATCTTTTCAGCATCCACCCTGTCGAGTACTTGTTTTTCTTAACACCAGTGAATTCAAATTCAACCTACCAAACCTTTGTGTCCCTAGGTATTAATTGAGTGAACCTTCTCTGAACTTCCCATTATGCAGTTAATTCTCCCTTAATTCAGGAGACCCAGTATGTACTACATATTCCAGATGTGGTCATGCCAATATTCTGTAGTCTAGCAAAAGGTTCCTTAATCTTGTATTCCACTCACTTTGCAATAAATGGCAATATTCCATTTGCCTCCTAATCATTTATCTGCATTCCAATCTTTTGTCATTCATGTACCAGGACACCCAGAGCCCTTTTGTGTAGGGGAGTCATGTTCATCACTTTCCACCTGAAGAACAAAAGCAGCAGATGTTGGAATATCACTATCTACAGTTCCCCCCAAGCTAAATACTACTGACCTGGAAGTATTTCTTCACTGTCACTGAGTCAAAATCCTAACAGCATTGTGGGCGTCCCTACGCTCCAAGGATTGCAGTGGTTCTAGAAGGCAGCTCACCTCCACCTTCTCTACAGCAGTTAGGGCTGGATAATAAATGCTGTTGTAGCCAGCAACACCCTCATCCCACGAATGAATACTTAAATATAAAAAAAAATCAGTTTCTACATCTGATTTATTTGTACCCAGCTTTCTTTCATATCTGTGATTTTGCATGTCTTTGCCCCTCTACCTCTATAACACTTGTTCCATGTTGGACACCTATTCTGATTTGCTCAGAAACTACAAGTCACACAGACTATTGCACTTTGAGACCTTGCACATACTGGGTTCATGTACCCATTGTTTTTGTCCTTTATTGAGTTGTAGTATCAATTGTGGCTCATTAAGTAGTCCTTTCACTTGCAAGGTTACGTAGAAACATATTCATGGATATCTACAGCACAGAACAAGACTCTTTGTCCCGTTGCGTCTGTGCTGATCATAAACAAGCACCTAACTACACTAATCCTATTTTCCAGCACTTGGCCCATAGCCGTGTATGCCTTGGCGTTGCAAGTGCGTATCCAAATACTTCTTAAATGTTTTGAGGGTTTCTGCCTCTACCACCCTTGTAGTCAGTGAATTCCAGGTTCCCACCACATTCCAGGTGGAAAAATGTTTTCCTCACATCCTCTCTTAAATCTCCTGTCCCTTACCTTAATTCCTATGCTCCCTGGTCATTGATCCCTCTATCAAGATGAAAAGTTTCTTCCTACCTATGCTCCTCATAACTTTATACATTCAATCATGTCCTCTCTCAGTCTCTTCTGTTTTAAGGAAAACAGCCCCAGTCTGTCCAATCTCTTAAATGAAACTCTCTAGCCCAGGCAACAACTTAGTAAATTTCCTCTGCACCCTGTCGAGTGCTATCGCATTCCTCACTTAATCTGGATTCTAGAACTGTGGCCTAACCAATATTTTATATTGTTCTAGTGTAACCTTCCTGCTCTTAAGTTGAAGTATACAGTTTATCAAGGCAAGTATACACATGCCTTCTTAACCACTTTATCCACCTGTGCTGATACCTTAAAGGACCAGTAGACATGCACACCAAGGTCCCTCTGATTCTCGGTGCTTTCCAAGTTCCTATCGTTCGTCACATATTCCCTTGCCTTGTTTGTCCTGCTGTAGCATATTAACTCACGTTTACTCAGATTGAATTCCATTTGCCACTAATCAGCCTATCTGACCAGCCCGACTGTATTCTCCTGTAAACTAAAGCTATTCTCATTATTTTGACTCCCCACTAATTTTTTTGCATCACCTGTGAATTTCCAGATTATCCCTCCTGTATTCAAGTCTAAATTATGTGTGTGAACCACAAGCAACAAATGTCCCACTGGATACAGTCTTCCAGTTTTAAAAAAAAAATACCCCTTAACCATCATCTTCTGCATTCTGCCATTCGGCCAACTCTGGAAACAATTTACCCAATTTCCTTGGATTCCATGGATTCTTCCCTTTGCTATCAACCTTCCATGTGGAACCTTAGCAAAAGACTTACTGAAGTCCAAGTCGACTATGTCGAAAGCATTGTCTTCATCTACAGCTCCAGTTGATAACTGTCACCGAACAAACATTTATTGTTCCCAGTCTTTTTTAAAAAAAAAAAAAAAAAAATTGATTCCCAGCTTCTAGAGCCTCTTCAGTCATAACATTCCAAACTCCCTTCTTTGATCAATTTAATTTGTACCGGTATGTAGATGACACACATTTTCATTTCTAAACGCAACCAATTGGAAGAGACCCACCACCTCATCAACAGCGTATTCACAGGGATTAAATTCACAAGGGAAGAAGAAACCAACAATCAACTCCCGTTTCTGGATGTTAAGGTAGAACGACTTACGAACGGGGAGTTCTAAACCTTAGTATAGAGAAAAGCAACCCATACAGATCAAATCCACAGCAACCACCCCAACGTCCACAAACAAAGCTGCATCAGGACACAATTTAAATGGGCCAGGACACACTGCAACACTCCAGAATTACGGCCGGAAGAAGAACACTTATACAAGATTCTTGCCTTAAGCGGATATCCCCGCAATTTCATCCGCAGATGCCTATATAACAGGCAACAACAGGAGGACATAGTACGACCTAACACACTTCCCTACATCAGGAACGTATCGGAACTGACAACAAGACTCCTAAGACCACAAGGAATAATGGTGGCCACCAAGCCCACAGCCACTCTACGACAAACACTTACAAGGAATAAAGACCCCATTCCCATAACATACAGAACGAACATGGCTTACAAAAATACCATGCAGCGACTGCCACAAACGTTACATCGGACAGACAGGAAGGAAACTAACCGTCAGAATACACGAACATCAACTAGCAGCAAAATGGCACGATGAACTCTCTTTAATATCTGTATATTGAGACAATGAAGGCATCAGTTTAACTGGGACAAAGTAACTATACTAGCCCAAGCCAAACGTAGACATGGACAGGAATGCCTAGAGGCATGGTTCTCCATCCATACTTCAATCAACAAACATATAGAATTGGACCCCATATATAAACCCATACAGATCAAAACCGGAAATGACAGTACTCACCATAACGGACTGGACAGTATAAATTCCAAGTGGAATAGAATAACGTCGTTTGCTTCATCGGAGGCTCCACTGATGATGTCACCTAGCATGGTGATGAAACGTATGAACAAAAACAAGCCAGCTCGGCGAGCAATTCAACAGCCTCATGAGTTCCAAAGTTGTACAACCCTCAAAAAAATTGACTCATTTCTGCCTTAAAAGGGCGACACTTAATTTTAGAACAGTGCCTCTGAGTTCTGGACTCATCCACAGAGGGAACACCTATCCAAATTCATTTTGTCAGGACTGCTCAGGATCTTGGATGCATACAATGAACTCACTCATTCTTCTAATCTCCAGTTGTAAAAATCACAGCTTATTGAATCTGTCCTTAAGACAGCCCACTTATTCCAAGAATCAATCTAGTAAACCTTCTCTGAATGGTCTCCAACGTATCTATATCCTTCCTTGAATAAGAGACCAAAATTGCATTTGGCGTTTTGAGATGTGGTGTCATTAAACTTTAGCTAATATACCTTTTGCACCCCTTATCTAAGTCATTGTTATAATTCGTAAAAAGCCGAAGCCCCAGCATAGATCCCTGCAGGACTCAACTTGTCACATCCTGCCAAACAGAAAAAGATCCATTTATGCATACAGGTATAACGTGTGTTTTGTTAATGTGAATTAGTTGTAACGCAATTGATAAATAGTGGACGCTGTTTGGATAATGTGAACTTTCTAATGTAAAATGTAGCGTTTTTTTTTCTCTACAGCGATTTCCCTAAAACGCAATTTTCTACGGCAATTTTCAATAGTGCGAGGTTACACAAGAATGTAACTATCAAGTTATAGGAGAAGTACCTGTACTGATTTCTGTCAGCCAGCCAATCTTCTAATTTTGCAGGGGATGTGGCTGACATTTTCTTCCTGTCCTTAAATGCACTTGATGGTGGGGTCTTGCCTCCTTGAATTGTTGCTACCTATTTGATGTAGGTACACATGCAATGTTGCTGGTGAGGAATTTTTGGGATTTTAACCCAGTGACAGTGATGTATTTCCTAGTCAGATGGTGATTGCTTTGGGAATGAACATGCAAGTAGTCCTATGTGTTTGTTGCCCTTGTCCTTCTAGGTGGCAGTGGTTGTGGGTTTTGAAGCTTCCGACTAAGGAACTTCAGTGAATTGTTTCTAGTGCATCTTGTAGATGGTACACGCTGCTGCTGCTGTGCATTGATGCTGGAGGGACTAATCCTGCACAATAACCACTTGTGGCGCCTTGTCTAATACCCTCTGGAAATCCAAGTATAATATGTCTGTCGGCTCCCCTTTATCCACAGGGTATGTTCCCACTTCAGAGAGCTCCAACAACATTTTTAAATATATGATTTCCCTTTCACAAGATCATGCTGTGCTGCTGGGTCAAAATTCTGGAACTCCCTTCCTAATGGCATTGTGGGGCTACCTACCCATAAAGGGTGGCAGCAGTTCAAGTAGGTAAGTCACCACCTTTTGTCAAAGGCAGCTAGGGATAATCAATGACTGCTGTGTCACCAGCAATGCCCACGTCCCATGAATAAATTAACCTTCGAGTGCCCAGTTGTAACAGCCCCAACCCCCAACCATAACTAGAATAGAGGAGTCATGCTTGCTGCTTTCCAGTTTGAAGGATTGTTACCAGAATCTAGCAAATTTTGGAAAATTTAAGGCCAATGCATTTACCTCCTCATTTACGACCTTGAGATCCTAGGACAAAATTCACTAGCACCTGGGTACTTGTTGGCCCATAGCTCCGTCACCTTGCTAAGGCTTCAGCTTTAAGTCCCACTCCATAGTTTGAGTACAAACATCAAGGCTGACGTTCCAACGCAGTAAGTTCTGCATTTGTCAGAGCTGCTTTCTTTTTATAAATCATTGAACTAATGTTACATCTGCATGGCCAGTTCGATATAAAGTACGACACTATTTTAATGAAGAATGGATTATCTACAGTGTTCTGGTCAATATTTTTCCCTTAACCAACATCACAGAATCAGGTTATCAGGTTATGATCACAAATACTATCTGGGAGCTTGCTGTATGCAAACTGGGTGCTATGTTATCCAACCCAACATAATGACTGCACTTTTAAAATTGCTTAATTGTTGCTTTTGAGAGGTCTGGTAGTTATGATAAACATGTAACTGCAAAGCTTTCTGTCTGTCTCTTTCTCTTCCTGTCTGATTCCACTGGATTCCTTGTATCCGAGGTGTGCTCCTTCCTTCCATGATCTTGTCTACCTACTAAAATCTCCTCTTTCAGCTTCTGTACTTTTGCACCCCTTTACCTGAATTCAAAGCCTCCTCAGCACGTTCTCATGGCATTACTTTTTTGCTCCTTCTAGCCATCTTCCTTTATCTCTTTTTTTTTTTTTTTCTCTCACCCTATCTTGACCCTGTCCACTTTTCAATTAACTGTCCTGGTAAGAACTTTAAGTGCATTATGAGGCTTGTAGACTTTTAAGCTATTGACAGGGTAGAATTGTAGATTTTTTTTGTAAATTTCTGACCCAGCATGAGGAGAAGCATGCCTTTCCCTTCTTCATATGCTTCTGACATTTATACAAGTTTTTACGGTCTAAGGATAGGTGGATATGGAAGGCTCCAGTAAAGAAGCATATAATATTAAAAAAAAATGCTAGGTTCACACCATTTCTTGCGTTGTACTACCCTTCAACAACTTGTGCCCAGCAGCTTCCACCTAGGTGTTAGAGCCTGAAGGCATTACCGTATATTTTAACTTGATAGTTTTAGGTATCAACAGTAAAGTGACAACTATTTCTGTGCCAATCTTCAAAGTTGGGGCTTTGACAAGTTGGACTTTTGAAACTCATGAAAATTTAGGTTTTTAAAACTTTGTCTTATTTGACAAGGTGAAGGATGTAAGGAAGCATATTGGGAAATTCTTTTAATTTGATTCTCAAGAGTGGAGAAATTAAACTTCAAGTTAGATGGGGAAGATATTATAGCAATATTCATATTATTGGGGAAAATAAGATTGATATTAACAATACTTAAGTGTTTGAATTTTGTTTCTTTAATGTTGAAAAAAAGTTGTTTTTATTTCAGATTTACAGCATTTGCAGCATTTTGCTTTTACTTAGAATATCAAGTTGCACAAGCAGCACAAATAGCATTGTCACTGTAATAGGGTTTTCAACTAGACAGCGTCAGAATAAATTTGGAATTAATAAAATCTGGGAATAACATTTGCTTTTGAATATTCAGTTACCATGTGATCAAAGTTTCATGTTACGCAAAACTCAAACAGAACATATCGTTATGGAAATGGAGACTTTAATTTTACAGCTGAAAGCTATATTTTTATTTAAATTTGTCAGTATCTATCCAGAAATGTCAAGTTGATATGGATACTATTTTACATTTGCGGCATTTTTATGAATGATGTTTGCCCGTGTATATTGGACACAATATTTCCGCAAAAAGCGAACATTGGTAATTGTTGCCAGAATCTGCCAGGAAATTGTATTTTGCGATTCATAGTGCTGAAAATCTACTAATTATTTATTAATTATATTCCAGCCCTATAGAGCAGTAATCAAACCAGAGAATTTCTGTTTATGATTGATCTACACTACTGTTATCAACTGGGACATTGTAGGACCTGTTTGATTAATATTCCTAAGTCAAAACTCAAAATTATTGTACAGGCTGAAACAATGTTGCAGTAAAAGCTATGAAGGCTAAGAAGTCTAATTATATGAAACTTACTTTTTTAAATGAAAGGTGAGCCAGGTTCAAAAGTCCGGGCCGTTATTGATAATGAGGATTTTGCTGCCAGAATCGTTACCGATGAAGGAGAATATAACGTAGAGGTATTCTTGACTTCAGTTACCTACTTAAGACGTTATATCTTGAAATACTGAAGTCTATAGAAAGTTTTTTTTTGTGTTCAACTACTGTAATTCTGAAAGAGAACATGGCTTAAAATGTTTATGCTTAAGGTCAAATATATTAGATTTTAAATCATGTGTGAGCTGTGTAAATTTATAACACAAACAGTGGCCATTTAACTCAGTTTTTTGATGAACTTGCACATTATGCACTTTTGGTCTTTTGCAACCTTTCTATAATGTGCCCCAACCTGTGTACAATTCTGTGGGTTGAGCAGTACTTTGTACGAGATTAATATTGTTTCTTTGCACTTGTACTGTTATACTCTGTCCTACCGTTGACCTTTTATCATGTTTGAAGCATAACCATGTGGTATTCCTACTGGGATTCTGTGGATACAGCATTGAATCGCTTAAAGAGCAACATTAGATAACATTTTGGATCCAGTTCAACACTGAGCTCAGCTATAAATCTCACACAATGCATTGCCAAAGCTACCTGTTTACAACTTCACAATTTCTCCCTTTCTCTTTCTCTCCTCTCTCTCTCTGTTTTTCTCTCCCCTCTCTCTCTCTCTATTTCTCTCTCTCTCTCTGTTTTTCTCTCCCCTCTCTCTCTCTCTCTCTATTTCTCTCTCTCTCTGTTTTTCTCTCTCTTCCCCCCCTCTCTCTCTCTCTTCCCCCCCTCTCTCTCTCTCTTCCCC